ATTTTGATAGCAATTTGTATTCTCTTTAACGAAGGAAAAGGCTTATGACCACTTGAGATTTCCCAAAGAATAACACCCAAACCATAAATATCTGACTTTGCAGTGCGTTTATAGGTGTTGACTTTAAAACATTGGGGGTTAATAAATGCAGGCATTCCATTAATAACTGAGTTAGAATCTAATACATCATTAGTTACTAGTTTAGATAAACCAGTGATCATCATTTTATCATTATGAACCAGGATGTTTTTTGTGTGCTATGAATATAATCAAATAGTTAAATATAATGCATTTAAAAATTAAATATATGAGATATACTTACAAGATTTCTATGAATTATATTATTATGATGTAAGTATGCGATACCCTGAGCTATTTCACTTGCGATGCGAAACTTATCTTGCCATTGTAATGCTGAAAAATTTCGTTCTAAGTATTCGCGTAAATTTCCGCCGTTAGCAAATTGCAGAACCATCATATAACCTTCAAAAGGATCTGTTTACAAATATAAAAGAGCAAGCTTACTCAAATTATATTTTAGCTCTTTCATTTAATTATATGTTAATCGAAATTCTAACCTTTAGTTACACCATAAAAATGGATTATTTTAGGATGATAACTTATTTTTTGTAAGAGTTGTAGCTTATGCATTCAAGACAGTTTGAATTAATACGATTACAATAAAATTTTCATTTTAATCAGTTACACATTCCTAATACCTCCTTTTTTTCTATGTCAAGTTTTAGCCTTTTAAGAGCAACTATCAATCCACTAGCTTCCCATTCATACTTGTATACAAAGCCGGTTCCATTAACTTTTTTTTTACTAACGAATTTATCATGATCAAAGTAATTAACTTCACTATTTGCAATGGCTCTTTCTAGCCATCCAAACTCACTAGCTCTAACATTGTAGCCTTAAACATCAGAATAAATAGTCTTTTCTCAATAATCATTGCTAATATACAATTCAATACTCACACTCTTTAATTTATCGCGAATGTAATTAATTATAGGTGTAAATACGTATCAAGAATCTTGTCAAAACAATAAATAAATATTAACGAACATTACATGATTTCACTGTCTATATGCAATTCTAACTTTTTACTTCCAGTTATTTCAGTTATTTTAGAAATTCCATTATCTAGTTCATGAGAGATAAATGTCATATTAATATATTAAAAGTCGATGTACAATGTGGGCAAATACAAACCAATATCATCGCTTTTAGAATCATAATTATTAATATTTTCTTTAAAATCCTGATCAGATTTAGGATCTAATTTTGAGGAATTCGATTCCAATTGCAGAAAAACTTCCTCCATGGAAGGACGTCTTTCTGGTTTATCATTCCAACAATCAGAATAAAGCTTAACGTAATAAATAGGGGTTCCTGAGACAGGTGTTTCGCGTAAGCCTCCAATAATATATGTTGCGAGTGTACTGTCGTTTTTTAAAGCAAATGGTCTACATCCATTGTTTGATATCTCCCACATAAGTACCCCCATACTATAAACATCAGATTCTTTATCACACACATATTCGAAGTTGCCGAGTTTTTGAGGGTCGACAAAAGGAATAACTCCATAAAAATTTTTACTCTTTGAAATCATTATACTATAAAGTTTTCTTGAAAATCCAAAGTCTGAAATTTTAATATTTCCTTGATGGATAAGAATGTTTGCTGTGTGCTAAATATGCATGTTATGAATCACTTATTAAATGTCTTCCAAAAAAAAAAAAGATATATAATGATAACAATTACACATCCTAGTTTTTACTGCTACATTGCGGCGAATTTATGAAATACCCCAAATTTGAAAATTTGGACCACTAATAAAACAATAATGATTTTTTACTGGAATAACTATTATCCCCTAGTGAGGGTGCGTCATCATTATCATATCTAATAAAATACATCAAAATTGGGGAAGATGGGTTATCACGTGGGAAAGATGGGTTAGACGCGTTATCAATCAAGATCAGAAGCCCAAAAATTTTCTGGGGTTTAGCATTGATTTATTAACATATAACTTGGTAACTAAAATTTAAAATTGGAGATCCAGGTACTCAGATTTGTTGACCGAATTTTAGTTTAATTTCATAAATTTGCCGTGATGATAAGTGATAATTGCAGAAATATTGGAATAAATTTAGTCACGAAAATATAAAAAGTTAGTTTTATTATAGAATGCAACTGATCTGTATCTAGTAACGTCAATATTTCTGCACAGGAACGTGCGGATTTTGTAATTTACAGTTTTGCTAAGGACTTTACATTTATAAAACCTATAAATATACTCCTTAAGATCACACAGTAAATCACAAGATCCATTCTGCACATAATTTTAACAGTAATGGATGCTTAATAATTAACGGTAAAGATAAAAAATTACGTTACCAAGTCACGATGTATAATATCTATACTATGAAGATAACGCATTCCTTCTGCTATTTGGATTGTATGTTTTATTTTCTCTGGCCACTCTGGTTTCAATCTTTTTAGATATTCTCGTAAATTTCCGTCATTTGCATATTCCATTACAAGATAATTTATTTCTTCCTCCTTATCTTATAAAATTTTATTGTGAAATTTTTTAATTTACTGGAAAACATTTATCACAAAATATATAAAATAGCTTACTTATAGTGACCCCATAAAATTGAATAATTCGAGGATGTTTAGCTCTGCTGTGCTGCTTTAGCTAATATATATATATATTAATATTTTAAAAGATTGATAATTTTCAATAAATTAACGAATATTACTATTTAAATAACAAACTTCATTTATAAAAATCTTTCTATTATATTCATCCGTATCCGCATCAGCCACTTCTTTAATGGCCACTTCTCCTAAAGACTCACATTTTACTTTAAATACTGTTCCGAATCCTCCTCTTTTTATTCTTTTCTTATTACTAAATTCTGTATAAGGCACCTTTTTTATGCTACACTTTTTAACAACAGATTGCAACCAGTCTTCACAATTGCTCATTATGCAAATAATTAGTGTAAAAAAATTAAAGCGAAATTTATTACGTACTGCACTGTGTGTACGACATCATACTGAGTACAATTTTGTACATTTTGTACGTACGTACTTATTTACGTTACCGTTACATTTTGAGTCCAAAGCTTTTTTTTGGTATGATCCGCTCATGTGTGAAGAAAGTTACAAAAACAGTGTCACGGTCGAAAGAACGATCGACCGAATCTTCAAAATTTTAAATTCTCATTATTTTGTACCAAAAACGTGTAGTCGTAGCAAACGCAAAAGCAAAATTACAATACTAGACATATTAACGGAGCTTGTAGATCTTTTAGTACAGAGCCTGATATTTGATGTGTATTTTTCTAAGGCAAGTCGCTCTATAATGCATAATCGAAATGGTGGAGAATTCTTTGAGTTTTTGAGTAAGATCATGCAGCCTCGGTTTGAATTCTTTAATCAAGATTGTAAAATGCCGCTAATATCTTAGTCAAAATCGCTGATAGAATTGCTAATTTTCTAAATGTTGAAGAATTCTCTTCTAATTTACAATTAATTGAAGTATTCATTAAATTATTTAAATTTTTATGCAAGAAATAATAGTCTCCACAAATGCTTGCTAACTAGTTTATACAGCACAATAAATTGATTT